CAAGGTTGCGCTGCTTAAAGATTCTGCAGATGCGTAAAGATAGGGGTCCAAGGTAAGGCAACGTTATTTGTACCTTTGAAGACTCTCTCTTGCTGCATAAAGTAGTGGTTGGAAACAGTGCTTTCTTTACCTTATTGAGCACATGCGTAAACTTTGCACGTGAAAAGCCAGCAGCGCGTACCGCCAAATTGATGATATCTAACTCGACATTTATCAGCTCCTGCATAGATGACATCCAGTAAAAAGAAGTAGAAGGGCTATCCGCATTATGCAGCAGACTCAGGCCCTTGTAGAAGTAGGAAAGAAGTAGGTAGGAAAGTATGAAGAAGTAGCGGGAAGAAGAAACTAGTGTGATAGGAAAGTGGGAAGGAGACCTGCATAGATGACAGTAAATAAGCCCTTCAGACAGGGATGCAATGGCAGTATTAACGTATTGAGAAGGCTGAAAGGCCTCTGCTGGTATAATGTGCGGAGCTATGCTAGATTTGTGATGGACCGAGAATTGTAGTCCATCCGAAAATTTACATATATGCAAGTCTAAGAACACTACTTCCGCATCGCTTTCTTTCTCCCAAGTAAAATTGATGGAAGGATATATACTTGCGAGTTGTTGCATAAAGACGAGGAACGACTCCTCTGTGCCTTCCCACGCTATGAGGATGTCGTCAACATAACGCAAATACAGCCTCGGGTAATGGATGGCAAGTGGGGAATTGAACGTTCTGTGCTCAATCTCTCTCATAACAAGTTCCGCTAGGATAGCAGATAAAGGGGAACCCATGGGAACCCTTTGTTTTTGTAAAAAGATCTTTTGGTTGAAACGGAAGTAATTGTGCTCAGTGACGAAGGTGAGGGCATCACGTATATTGAGCACCTGTTGGATGTTAAAGCCCTCTTTTAGAAGCAGCGAATTAGCCAGCATTACAGCCTCAAAGGTGGGCACTGAAGGATATAAAGATATTACATCTAGCTTGTAGAAGGTATAGGTGTCTGGCTGTAGAGCCCCAATACTCGAAGCGATGGTAGATTTAGCAGCTACAGAAGAGGGAGTAACATATGGGGATCCCGGAACTATTGCACGAAGGAATTCGGCAAGCGCTTTTTCTAAATAGTAGGTGGGATGAGACCGTTTGTTTACCAGTGGACGTAATGGCCAGTTTGTCTTATGTGTTTTTGGCTGAAAGAACAACCTTGGACACGCAACATTGGAGGGGGGATCGAGCAGCCCAGTTAGGGTTGAGGAAACATCCGGTAAGGCGATAATTCTTCTTGCCTTCCTTAATACCATCGGCATAGGGTCCTCACTCATCTCCGAGGAATGTGACTGCGTTAGAAATTCATTGGCCCTGGTTAAAAAGTCATTCTCTCTGCACAGCACAAACCTCCGGTCCTTGTCAGAGACTAGGAGTCTCAAGTTGGCTTTGGCAAGGAAGTGTTCTACCACTCGACGGTCCACAAAACCATTGGGCTTGCCAGATCTTTGTTTTGCTGTAGCAAGCTTCGTAATTACGGACAATTCCATTTGCAAACATGTAGGGTCCTTCTGGCAGGACTTGAGTGCTGCTAACACAGCTGGGATCAACTGGGAGAGGTTGGTGTTGGTAGGCAGGATGTACTTAGGTTCCTGCTGTAGAATTTTATGCACTGTGTTGGGCACGTTTTCATCCGTGTAATTATAATATGGGATATTCACCTCCACTTTTCTTTAATTGTGCGACGAACGTGCTAACCACTGAAGCTTGTTGTTCAATTTCATTTCTAACTTCTGGGCAAAATAGGATGCTATACTTTGTATTTTGACTAACTGCTCATAGAGTAAAGCTGGATCACAAGCTTTGGTGAACTGCAGGTGTGTTGCATAGAGGCTGAGCTCCGCCTCTACAAGGTTCTTTAGTTTGTTCCTAATCAGCTTTGTGAGAAGAGACTTTTCCACACTTGGAAGAAACCATCATAGACACGGTGGAAATGCCTTGTACTTAAACGAAATAGACTTTGGTACTATCTTTTGCGTTCTGCAGTTTAACTGCAGTTTTCGTTGAAAGTACTAGCGATAAAAAAACGCATGTAATGCTGAACTCAGTGTCTTTGTTTTTGTTATTATGTAAAGACTCACAAGAGAACTGAAAATAAGTTGAAAGTTGTAGGAAACACTAAAGAAGTTGAAGTATCTCATCTTTCTGAAAAATTTATGGTCATAAGCATTATAAGAACTACTCAAGTGATAAAGAATTCAAATATTTAGATGTAAAAAATGTCAAACTTTCTTTAAGTCAGAGCCAAAGAGAAGTGATGTGAAAGATTATGCGTCAGAACATGAAAGTACTGTTAAAATTGACTGACATTACAATATTTACTTTAAAATTATAAAATATATGAAAGAAAAATGTCTTCACAAATCCATTATTCACAACACAGCAGCAACACACATTCTCCACCTACAGATGACAACCTCTTATTGGAGGTTACACTTCTGAAAAATAAGGCATATTTTGTATCTTCCATGTATTTTATATTTTTAAAATAAAAGTATGAATTATAACAATATGTAGAGATGATAAAGAATTATGTTTATACATTGTTCTTGTCAAAATAAATATGAACATAGACATTGCACTACAATACAATTTCTCAATTTAATATGATTGGGTCATTAATTAAGGAAAAATGCAACTCAGTGACCACACCAATGCCAGGTTGAAATTTCAAGTTTAGGTTAAATGAATAAAACTCTACAACTAATCAGTTAATGACTAATTTAATTTAAAATTATGAATAACTTTTTAAATAAAAGCCTTTCTAGTTAAAAAAATCATGCTTTAACAGCTCAAAAATATTTGATACTGTTGAAATAAAATTAATTTTGGCATTAAAATTTTAAATAATTCACCTGCTAGCATTACACAGATGGAAAAAAGAAAATTATTTCCATATTTTTAAGCATTTGCATCATTAAAAATATTTATAAATATTTTCTTCCAAGTTTTTCTTTTTACTTATTGAACTTTTCTTACATTAAACTACAAAATTATCAAGTTCACACAAATAACGTACTAAATTCTTTGTATATATGTTGTTAGAAAACAATATTACTTCAAGAAGTCTTAAAAAGTATTTATTTCCTTTGGATTTTTTTAAGTCATTTAACAAGCTTATCTTCAAACATGTACCTTTTAAAACATACACAATATACTTCTGAAAATAAAACTAAACAAAGTTTTAAAAATATAAAAATCACAAATTCTATAAGATTTTTTGAAGTAAAACAAATTTTTTAATAGCAGTGATTTAAACCAGATGGAGTTAAACTATGCTGACAAATAAATTGTTTTTTGTTCCAATCAAAAAAAAAAAAAAACTATATGAATGGCAAAAAAATATGCATTTAATTCTTTTAACTAGAACTTTTCTGCAAGTATTACACTAGTTTTAAAAATTATATTTTATATTAAAAAATGTTTTATTAAAGTTACATCAATTCAACATTTTCTTTTTAAAAAAAATAATTACTTTCTATAATTACTTTGATATATTTTTTTTATATTTCATATAAATATTAATTATAACAAATTATTATAGGTAAAAATTATTTATTATGCATTTCAAAGATTTCAACTTTATATGACTAATATTTTCAAAAATAAGACAACTTAAAAACATTATAAATATTCCAATTTACAGTAAAAAGCATAAAATATGAAATGAAAATTTCAAAATTATCTTATTAATTTAATACACACTTCAATAAAGTACTGAGAATATTCAAAACAAAAATAAAGCTATTTCATCAAGTAAATATATCCTATTTGAAGTACAGTACATGAATACTGATGTTGGATACCTTTACAAATGCCATGATGATATATTGGACTATCATGTTATAATAATTAGATATACATTTCATCTTTATATTTTAATCTAAAATCAGAAAACTTATACTAATTATTAATGTTTTCAATGGATAAAAGTTTTCTAATAATTCAAGTACTGTAAGAGATAGAAGTACTTAAATAATTTCATATCTATCAATTATTAGGTAATTTACTGGAGATTTTGTTAATTTGGTATTTATATATATGTTTATAAAACAAATAAACATATATATATATATATATGTTTATATTTAAATTTTCATTAATATGTTACTAAAATCCAATGATGTATAATAATGTTAGTAACAAATATTTATTTTGTGTAACACAATGTTTTTAAATAAGTAAATAATTTGAAAAGAGGCATGAAAATTTTAAATTACATAAATTTGTTATATTTAATGATTGCTTTTATACATATATATATAAATTGATAAATTTAGGGAGCAATTTATCATTATAAAACAACAAAAATGTCAATAATGCCAATAAAATATAAATTCCCCAAATAGTTTGGGACATTATACAAACTTTTCATAAACTCGTCATTCACTTCAATTAAAGAAACAATCTATCATTTAATAACTTAATAATGATTTTAATACTAAAGATCTATAAAATACTTTCAACAACAAAGTATACATATTACAAAAATTAAATTTTAGAATCTAAATATACAAAATATATAATAATTTCAAATTAAGTGAAAAGAAAATGTAGAAATATAGAGGGAAAATGTAAAATAATTAGTACAATAATAAAAGAAATAGGCTTTAAAAGATTTGATGAAAGTTACTTTTAGGCCATTTATTTGTGTGTGTATAGAAATTATCTAAAAGTAACTTCTACCAAAGATTTATCTAATCTTATAATTTGACAAAAGGAATTTAAAATATATAGTGTGAAAAATATATTAAATTAGTTTAAAATAATCAGCATTTCATATATATTTAATAAAATAAAAATTTTAAAGTCCATCAACGAAATGACAAAAGCATAATCATTCTTTATTCACATTTTATGTGAACACTCAATACCATTCTTTATTATTATTATTTTGAATGAAACAATATATTTAAACAAATAAAAGATGCTATATTTAATGGCTGATATAACTTAATAAACTTTTACCTTCCATGAAACCAATCTTTGCAGACATCACACTGTATCATAAAACAAGAGGGATCATACGGCTGACCACAAATGCAATATACTTCGACTGAGGACATCTTTGACCGTCTTTCCGGAAGTAAACTCGCGCATTGTCTGATGGGAAACGTGACGTCACGAAGCAAGATGACGAAATTGAATCGCTTCCCCCCTCGGAAAAAAAATTCAAATCTATTGTACTACGTTTAATGAATTATCATATATTTTTAAAATGATTATATATATTTTTTAAAACTACTTTTTTATTTCAAAATTTCTTAATATAAAGAAATTTTCAACTAAATTTCTGTAAAAAGAATTTGAGTGTATTATAAACATACATATAGACTGGTGTGTGTATATATATATATATATATACAGTATTATGTATATGTATGTATATAATATATATAAAGCTGAAAAACCGGATTCGTTCTTTCTTTCTTTCTGTCACTGTATGCCAAAAATGGCTACTAGGGTCGCTCCTAGCTATTATTTAAATTAACAATAAATTCAGTATATTCTTATTTGATGCGGTTTTTTGCATTTTTGGCTGCGTTTTAGAAGGGTACGCTATGAGAAATTCAGTATATTATTATTTTTATTTGTAATAGGAATTAATTAATTATATCACGGAATGACACCGCTGCTGCTAGAACGCCCACTAGGGAGCGTCCCGGGCTACTAGAATAGAAGGATTAGAAAAAAAGTGTACAGGTAGGCCTCCTACAACGCAGTAGATACGTTCCTTGAAAATACCGCGTTGTGGGAAATAACGTTATAGGATAGTGATGGGCAAACTTTTTAAAGAGCGGGCCAAAGGAAAAGAAGAAAACTTTAGGCGGGCCAATATAATTTTAACCTAGCGCTGCATCTGAAAATCCAGGTGGCGCTATAAAAACATGTGCAGGCCGTCCGCCATATTTCTTTTTCTCTCTTTCGGCTACGCTACGCACGACGAGTGGATGTTCTGTACCGAAGCATGATTGTAACCGATCGAGCTTTTACTCAATAAGTGTAAAACAAAATTTTGTACATGATTGTAAATAAACTTTCATGGTGATATATAAAGCTTCGGTTATGCACCACTTGAGTGTTCGTTGATTATATAAAATAATATAATCAACGAACACTCAAGTGGTGCATCAACCACTACAGCCTGTATTCTTTTTTACTCGTCAGATTAGGAATAATGTCGCGCGGGCCGGATAGAACATTTCAGGGGGCCGCATCTGGCCCGCGGGCCGTAGTTTACCCATCACTGTTATAGGAGACACCAACTCAATACAAAAACTGGGATTCGGTTCTAAAAAGAGAAAAACTTGGCGTTTGAATGGCGTTTTTTGAATTTTTCAAACCAGCCATTAGTAGCCACGAATTTAGTAGGCATTTTAATTTAAATGAATCTACTATTCGGTCGATTAAGCAATAGGGAGAAAAGATTAGAAATTTTGTCGCATGCGGATCATCTATTCTTGCGAAAAATGTTACTAGTCCGAGAGCAACCTATAATGTAAAAATGGAACAAAGCGCTAATATTATGGGTAGAAGATATGAACAAGAAACGGTTGCCTTTAAATAAAACTGCACTTAAGCACAAAGCCTTAAAAATATTTGATTATTTAAAACAAATGGGACAGTCGTCAGCTGCAGAGGCGCAGCGTGGGTGTCAGCCGCCCGGGGCGGAGGAAAATTTTTTGCCCCCCTATTTAGGTATCTCAATTTAAAAGACTAAAATTCAGTTTCGTCACAGAATAAGTAATGAACAATTCCGTGCTCATTTCAATCGGTCCGAATCGTAGGTGCGACAAAAATATGAAATGAAATGGTTCAAATTTTTACAAGACATTATTATTATTTATTGTGAAATTTTTCCGCCCCCACTATGCTTCGCCACTGGTCAGCTGATGAAACTAGTGTTAATATCAGCTATCCGCTCTTGATTTTTAATTCGATCCAAAATTTCTATCTTTAAGAGTTATAAATTTCCTTTTTAACGACGGTCCTTTCTTTTCATTCAGCATTGTTATGGCTAAAACTTTTTCAATCAGTTTTGTGGACAGTAAAAATCGCAAAAAATAACTTTTATTCACTATGTTGTTAAAAATATACACCCAATAGAAGTTTATACTGTATTTTGGGCCATTTTTGCTGTCCCCACTTATTGAAACAGTATAAATGATGGAAAATTTAGTGATATATTTGAGTGTTTACGGTAACTGATGCACATCTGTCTAGAAACCGGTCTTCCCCTGAAACTTTCAAGGGAATAAATAACACGCCAACGGCGACAAACAGCTGCTTTCAAGGACATTTAGTTCTGTATGCCAAACTGCGGTTCGTATCACGTGATCCGTTGCGATTTTTCTGTTATGTGAAAGATAATTCGTTTCTAAATACCGTAAACCGTGTTATGAGAAAATTTCCACATTTTTCCAACCGCGTTGGAGCGAAAACGCGTTGTAAAGGTACAGCGTTGTAGGAGGCCTACCTGTACTTCGTCTCCGCTCATCTGTGGAGACCAGACCCTAAACACTGGGAGTTCGGGCATGGGTTCGCGCCTCGCTCGGACAGGCTGGCTACGCGGAGTTTTTTCCGGGTTTTCTCCGCGTCCGTAACGCCTAAATAGAGGCCAGCTCCCCCTAAAAGTCTTCCCGGAAAAGCATTATTTCCGCGCGTTTCACGGTTCCTAACATACACACATTCACGGGACAAAAAAAGCCAATTAGCTAGACGCCCAACATGCTTTCCACCTAAACCGAAACCGAAGCATTAGAAGTACGAAATAATCTTAATCTTTGTTGTTGATTTTTTCCCGGGCAACGCCAGGCTCATCTGCTGGTGTATATATATATATATAGAGTTTGTTCAAGAGAATAACTGTCATTACGTTCAAGCTCCTTCTTCCATCGATTGGGCAGGTCACGGATAAATAAAACACAATAAAACTCAGGCTATTTTATTTTATTTTATTTTATTAAAACTTAGGCTATAAACAATAAGGCTCGATAAAACTCAGGCTATTTTAACTCGAAGAACTTTGCAAGTACAGTACGATATCGTAAAGCATACATGTACAAAGGTAGTCACGAGAAAGCGTTGAAAAACTTGACATACCGGTGTTTAATTAAAAAGTTGGTATCGCAACATCGTAACATTTATCACAGTGAACCTTGATTTATATCACAAGAAACTTCTAGATGCCAACTATCAGAGAAAATTTTCGAATATTCTAGAGAAGTCTAGAAAATTCCAGAAATTTTTTGCATCAACCCAATAAAATACCTGTAGCGTTGTTCGCCAACAAAAAAGTTCGGAGTTTATAATCGTTGCGGTCACCGGAAATCACAAACGGTAAAAAAATTACAGTGACCGCAATGATTGTAAACAAATACCCTTAGCCTTTGAGATATATCTTGTAGATGATATTAAATACTTAGGTTATATATCTTGTAGATGATATTAAATACTTAAACAGTTACGACACTTTTTTTCATCACAAAAAACAATAATAATAAAAGAAACGGCAGTACCGGAAATCGCTAAGGTTTATTCGATTACGGCAACGCGACACATAGGCGATCTACCGAGGGAGGAATGCTTCCCGGGGGGTCTTTTATGGGAAACTGTCTCTTATTTAGGCGTTACTGGCGTGATGAAAACCAGGAAGACGCCACGTGGCCAGCCCGTTGGCGATGCGCGAACCAACGACAACTACTAGTATTCAGATTTTATCCACTCGGCCACTGGAAGGCAGGGAATCGCTAAAACGTCAATAAATTTTTGAAGTGACGGGCTGTACAGCTTTCCCTTAACTGTCAACCTGCGGGACGCAGCCCGAATCACATACAGCAACAGTCGGTACCCATCGGAGACTTTCACCAAATTCCAAGACTCATGGGCAAACTGCCGCCATTGTCCGGTTTCACTGTCTGTGGAAGCCCGCCGGTCATTTCGAAATCAGTGGACAATACAACCTGCGATTAGTGCGAGACTCTTTCGCTAAAAAGGGAGTTCCCAAACGTTTTGAAGTTGTGACTACCTTTTGAACGAAATTTTTGCTCGTGACTCTCACTACTTTGTTTCTCTTTCCATTTATATCCCTCTCATTCCGCAATTATGATAACATTCGCAACCTCGTATCGTTGCAAGAAAAAATTTCTCATCAAAACAAAAGCGAGAAATCGCTTTGATCTTGAAAATAATTTAATTCTGTGTGTTTCGAATACAGATTTCAGATTTGAAAGAGTAGTTTCTGAAAAACAAGCACATGTTCCACACTAATTTTCTGTTGTAAATACAAAATAAATGTATGTTAATATGACTTTTTGTTTGGTTGTGTAAAACGTCTCGCGACCCATACTTTGGGAAACGGGGGTTAAAAAAATGAAAATTTGTTTTCTTCCACCTTTACTGACTGACGACTTGGGTCTGATCAACCATAAGTTCCATATTTCATATATAATATAGATATAAAAGTGCAACGAGATGTTTATGGATACGCTAAACACACGGAAAGGGAAGTAAAAATAGAAACAACGACACCATAAATTGATAAATCGTCACGAAATGTTTTTATAAATAGTTTATATATTGAGAATAAGGGCAAAGCCCATGGGGCAAGCAAGCGTAGACAAAGTCACCATAGTAAATATACAGGGTGTTTCAAAAAGAATAATCCGATTTAAAATTATTATATTATGAAAAGTAATGAAGATACACACTTAAGATTAATTTTATATTACAGGGCTAATCTTCAAGTTTTTTTACGTACTAAATCATAAGTGTTCAATATACTCCCCTTTGGATGCATGGCATATGTCCAAACGGTAGTGAAATTCGACGGAAACTTTTGCGAGCATGCCTGAATCCGTCGCTGTTATGCGGTTTCGCAGTTCGAACAGTGTAGCCCTGGAAGAGGAGGCACATAAACGGAGTCTTTTATAAAAACACACAAGAAAAAGTCGCAAACAGTGAAGTCCGGCGACCGAGGAGGTCAGTTATGTAAACTGAATCATTAGGTCCCATACGACCGATCCATCATTGGGGAATCTGGGTATTCAAAAATTCTCGAACTTCCAGGCTCCAGTGTGGTGGTGCCAACGCTGAACAGTTGGTTCGGACCCACACTTCGCAAAGCGTAGAACACAAAATGATTTCTGTTGTCTAGTCGCCATCTTGAAAATACCGAAGTGACAGGTGAACGAAGCGCACGGGTATTGCCAATCGGAAGCTGCGTAAAACTCTAGAATTTCCTCTTTCTTACAGTACATCATTCGATCAGAACAGATTAAAAGCTGAATAGTTATGATTTTTTTAATTCGGATGGTTCTTTTTAAAACACCTTGTATATTAATTCATCCACGTGACAAACAGTTCAGAAGGAAGCTAATGGCATAATCCAATGGCATAATGAAATAATCAACTTGCTTATTTAGCTGCTTGTTACTTTTTTTACTCTTCCTGCCTTGTGAGTACTAAGAGGGCCGTTTTCGGGTTCATCGTTAGTTGGGCCCCTTCCACAATGGGATGTTCGGATGATGAGATGATGCTATCCCGAAGACCACATGTGAAAAAATTCTAGGGTTCTTTGACTCTCCAAATTCGATCCCGGGTTCTCCAAAATGATAAGCTGACGCTGCTTGTTGCCTAGGCACAAACACAATATATTCGAATTGTTTCTTCAGAAATTCAATTTAAATTTTATTTTATAGAAATTCAATTTTGGGATAAAAAGCAAAAAATAATAAGGTTTAATTTCCGTTAATATTTCTTTTCATTTTTAAATAGTAGGAAAAATATTGTAATTATAGGAAACTGCGGTTTTCTGCTTTGAATCTTTTTTTGGAATTCGTAACATCACGTGAATGTCGTAAAAAATTCGATTTTAGAATTTAAACCGTTCAATCGTATTCTAAAAGAATAAAGATAGACACAAAAACAGAAAATTAAAATATATTCGAATATCGAATGTCTGGGTACAAAGTTTCGGCAACTGAAAAAAGATGAGTTCGATTAGCTCTAATTGTCCTTTTGCTTCTCTGTATGTTGGTGATTTGCATCCCGATGAAACCGAAGTTACGCTTTTTGAAAAATTTTCTACCGCAGGACCAATTCTTTCCATCAAAGTATGTAGAGATCTGATTACAAGAAAATCTTTGGGTTATGCGTATGTTAATTTTCAAAATCCTCAAGATGCAGAAAGAGCCTTAGATACTATGAACTTTGATCTAATTAAAGGAAAACCAATCCGTATAATGTGGTTACAGAGAGATCCATCGCTTAGAAAATCTGGCGTTGGAAATATTTTCATCAAGAATTTAGACAAGAGCATCGACAACAAAGCTATGTATAATACATTTTCTGCTTTCGGAAATATCTTGTCGTGTAAAGTGGTTACGGACGAAGAAGGTAACTCGAAAGGTTACGGTTTTGTGCATTTTGAAACTGAAGAAGCAGCTAATAATGCCATTGCTAAGGTAAATGGCATGCTGTTGAACGGTAGAAAAGTTTATGTAGGTAAATTCATTCCTCGCAGAGAACGTGAGAAAATGCTCGGAGACAAAGCACACCGATTCACGAATGTTTACATTAAAAATTTTGGTGACGAACTGGATGATAATAAACTGAGAGAAATGTTCGAGAAATACGGTCCTACCATCAGTGCTAAAGTCATGGTCGATAAAAGCGGCAAGTCAAAGGGTTTTGGATTTGTTAATTTTCAAGATTCCGAAAACGCTAAAAAAGCGGTAGAAGAGTTAAATAATAAAGAATTTGGTGGAAGACAACTTTATGTTGGTAGAGCACAGAAAAAAGCCGAAAGACAAACGGAATTAAAACGAAAATTTGAGCAGTTAAAATGGGAACGAATGAGCCGTTATCATGGTGTTAATTTATACATTAAAAATTTAGAAGATCCCATCGATGAAAAACGCCTCAGAAAAGAATTCTCGTCTTTTGGTAACATCACAAGTGCTAAAATCATGACGGATGCTCATGGAAATTCTCGTGGATTTGGTTTTGTTTGTTTCAGTTCTCATGAAGAAGCATCCAAAGCAATAAATGAAATGAACGGAAAAATTGTGATTTCTAAACCACTTTACGTTGCTCTAGCCCAAAGAAAAAAAGAACGTAAAGCTTATCTTGCTTCACAATACATGCAAAGAATGGCTAGAATGTACGAGCAACCGCATTTCAACCAAATGTTTCAACCAGGAGGAGGCGATTATTTTGTACCGACAATGCCCGAAGTACCAGGAAGTTGTTTTCCAACCCAAATTTCACAGATGCGATCTACATCAAACTGGATAATGCAGTCACCGCTGACACTAAGTGATCAACCCATCGGTGGTTTCTCATCAATGCAATCTGCACAGTTCGCTTCTCCAACTCTGCATTCAACAGTCACAGCAACCAAAACCCAACATATTAAAACTAATATGAATGTAAGATCCATCACTAGACAACAGACCAGAACAGAATCGAGAAGAGTTGCATCTCTGGAGCCAACCCGGGTCGCCTATTCCATGGCCATACCAAACGCCAATGTTGTGCAGCCTTATCCTCCCCCATATATAGCTAACGTGTGTAATTCTCCGTCGTCTACCGTTCAACCATCAATTATTGAACAAGCTGCAAGTTATATCCAAGAACAGAAACCTCTGACCACTATGTTTGTTGATTCCAATTCGCAAGAACAGAAGCAAATATTAGGAGAACGCTTGTTTCCTCTCATTCATTGCTGGTATCCAGATTTAGTCGGAAAGATAACCGGAATGTTATTAGGAATTGATAATTACGAGCTATTGCATATGCTTGAGAACCACGATGCCTTGAAGGCGAAGGTAGACGAAGCAGTCCGTATTCTCCAGGCTCATGACAATGAAGCCGCATTTAAGAAAGAATAAAAGAAAAAACATTTTTCTAAATGTAATTTCTTGTTTTGAATCTTATTACCATAAAATCTTTATTACATATGAGCTGTTCAAAGCATAGTTTTTAGTTTCATATTATATATTAACTTTAATATTTTCTTTCAAAAAACAATATGAATGTAAAAATTTTAAAATTTATAAAAATTTTTAAAATTTNGATGCCTTGAAGGCGAAGGTAGACGAAGCAGTCCGTATTTTCTGTACCGAAGCATGATTGTAACCGATCGAGCTTTTACTCAATAAGTGTAAAACAAAATTTTGTACATGATTGTAAATAAACTTTTATATTTCATATAAATATTAATTATAACAAATTATTATAGGTAAAAATTATTTATTATGCATTTCAAAGATTTCAACTTTATATGACTAATATTTTCAAAAATAAGACAACTTAAAAACATTATAAATATTCCAATTTACAGTAAAAAGCATAAAATATGAAATGAAAATTTCAAAATTATCTTATTAATTTAATACACACTTCAATAAAGTACTGAGAATATTCAAAACAAAAATAAAGCTATTTCATCAAGTAAATATATCCTATTTGAAGTACAGTACATGAATACTGATGTTGGATACCTTTACAAATGCCATGATGATATATTGGACTATCATGTTATAATAATTAGATATACATTTCATCTTTATATTTTAATCTAAAATCAGAAAACTTATACTAATTATTAATGTTTTCAATGGATAAAAGTTTTCTAATAATTCAAGTACTGTAAGAGATAGAAGTACTTAAATAATTTCATATCTATCAATTATTAGGTAATTTACTGGAGATTTTGTTAATTTGGTATTTATATATATGTTTATAAAACAAATAAACATATATATATATATATATGTTTATATTTAAATTTTCATTAATATGTTACTAAAATCCAATGATGTATAATAATGTTAGTAACAAATATTTATTTTGTGTAACACAATGTTTTTAAATAAGTAAATAATTTGAAAAGAGGCATGAAAATTTTAAATTACATAAATTTGTTATATTTAATGATTGCTTTTATACATATATATATAAATTGATAAATTTAGGGAGCAATTTATCATTATAAAACAACAAAAATGTCAATAATGCCAATAAAATATAAATTCCCCAAATAGTTTGGGACATTATACAAACTTTTCATAAACTCGTCATTCACTTCAATTAAAGAAACAATCTATCATTTAATAACTTAATAATGATTTTAATACTAAAGATCTATAAAATACTTTCAACAACAAAGTATACATATTACAAAAATTAAATTTTAGAATCTAAATATACAAAATATATAATAATTTCAAATTAAGTGAAAAGAAAATGTAGAAATATAGAGGGAAAATGTAAAATAATTAGTACAATAATAAAAGAAATAGGCTTTAAAAGATTTGATGAAAGTTACTTTTAGGCCATTTATTTGTGTGTGTATAGAAATTATCTAAAAGTAACTTCTACCAAAGATTTATCTAATCTTATAATTTGACAAAAGGAATTTAAAATATATAGTGTGAAAAATATATTAAATTAGTTTAAAATAATCAGCATTTCATATATATTTAATAAAATAAAAATTTTAAAGTCCATCAACGAAATGACAAAAGCATAATCATTCTTTATTCACATTTTATGTGAACACTCAATACCATTCTTTATTATTATTATTTTGAATGAAACAATATATTTAAACAAATAAAAGATGCTATATTTAATGGCTGATATAACTTAATAAACTTTTACCTTCCATGAAACCAATCTTTGCAGACATCACACTGTATCATAAAACAAGAGGGATCATACGGCTGACCACAAATGCAATATACTTCGACTGAGGACATCTTTGACCGTCTTTCCGGAAGTAAACTCGCGCATTGTCTGATGGGAAACGTGACGTCACGAAGCAAGATGACGAAATTGAATCGCTTCCCCCCTCGGAAAAAAAATTCAAATCTATTGTACTACGTTTAATGAATTATCATATATTTTTAAAATGATTATATATATTTTTTAAAACTACTTTTTTATTTCAAAATTTCTTAATATAAAGAAATTTTCAACTAAATTTCTGTAAAAAGAATTTGAGTGTATTATAAACATACATATAGACTGGTGTGTGTATATATATATATATATATACAGTATTATGTATATGTATGTATATAATATATATAAAGCTGAAAAACCGGATTCGTTTTTTCTTTCTTTCTGTCACTGTATGCCAAAAATGGCTACTAGGGTCGCTCCTAGCTATTATTTAAATTAACAATAAATTCAGTATATTCTTATTTGATGCGGTTTTTTGCATTTTTGGCTGCGTTTTAGAAGGGTACGCTATGAGAAATTCAGTATATTATTATTTTTATTTGTAATAGGAATTAATTAATTATATCACGGAATGACACCGCTGCTGCTAGAACGCCCACTAGGGAGCGTCCCGGGCTACTAGAATAGAAGGATTAGAAAAAAAGTGTACAGGTAGGCCTCCTACAACGCAGTAGATACGTTCCTTGAAAATACCGCGTTGTGGGAAATAACGTTATAGGATAGTGATGGGCAAACTTTTTAAAGAGCGGGCCAAAGGAAAAGAAGAAAACTTTAGGCGGGCCAATATAATTTTAACCTAGCGCTGCATCTGAAAATCCAGGTGGCGCTATAAAAACATGTGCAGGCCGTCCGCCATATTTCTTTTTCTCTCTTTCGGCTACGCTACGCACGACGAGTGGATGTTCTGTACCGAAGCATGATTGTAACCGATCGAGCTTTTACTCAATAAGTGTAAAACAAAATTTTGTACATGATTGTAAATAAACTTTCATGGTGAGATATAAAGNTGACACTAAGTGATCAACCCATCGGTGGTTTCTCATCAATGCAATCTGCACAGTTCGCTTCTCCAACTCTGCATTCAACAGTCACAGCAACCAAAACCCAACATATTAAAACTAATATGAATGTAAGATCCATCACTAGACAACAGACCAGAACAGAATCGAGAAGAGTTGCATCTCTGGAGCCAACCCGGGTAGCCTATTCCATGGCCATACCAAACGCCAATGTTGTGCAGCCTTATCCTCCCCCATATATAGCTAACGTGTGTAATTCTCCGTCGTCTACCGTTCAACCATCAATTATTGAACAAGCTGCAAGTTATATCCAAGAACAGAAACCTCTGACCACTATGTTTGTTGATTCCAATTCGCAAGAACAGAAGCAAATATTAGGAGAACGCTTGTTTCCTCTCATTCATTGCTGGTATCCAGATTTAGTCGGAAAGATAACCGGAATGTTATTAGGAATTGATAATTACGAGCTATTGCATATGCTTGAGAACCACGATGCCTTGAAGGCGAAGGTAGACGAAGCAGTCCGTATTCTCCAGGCTCATGACAATGAAGCCGCATTTAAGAAAGAATAAAAGAAAAAACATTTTTCTAAATGTAATTTCTTGTTTTGAATCTTATTACCATAAAATCTTTATTACATATGAGCTGTTCAAAGCATAGTTTTTAGTTTCATATTATATATTAACTTTAATATTTTCTTTCAAAAAACAATATGAATGTAAAAATTTTAAAATTTATAAAAATTTTTAAAATTTTCTGTAAATATGATACAATAATAAAAACGAGTAAAATTTAAAATGATAATACTAAATATTAAAACAAAAAATAATAATAATTAAAAATTTATTTATTAAAAATATCGGTAGTTTTTCATGAAGCAAGACTCGAATCCATGGTCTGAGAGGTTGATCTCTCATTCAGAATTTTGTCCTTTTTCTCATGAATCAAGAAATTTAGACCTTTTATTTTTTTTGAAACATTAATTACAGAATATAAATTTAAATTTCTGACTTATACTGTATATTATTTTTATCTCAATATATTCCTTTTACGAGCAGTATATATAAATTATGTAAAATAATGTAGAAAGTATTTTGTTTTAATTTTGGCTCTCCGTTCCGTAGCCACTAAAATAGTAATTTTTTTTTTCTGTTCTCATTGTGGGTTTAGCCAGGTCTATAATAAGAGGCCTGAGTAAAAGAGGGGTCACGACTTATTCGAGACAAACAATCCATAAAAATTTCTGGGTTTGCTTTATTTAATTTTTCTTCAACTTACACGTATTTCTGCGTAATGTTCATTAGACTTTTCCTTGCCGCTTTTTCATGAACGCTTAGGCTGCATTTATGCAGACACGAGAAATCCGAGAGGAGAGAAAAACAGGATAGGAAAAACCAAGCAAATCAAGGTGATGCACCTACAGAATTACTCTCCTCGTTTCTCCCGTAGTTGCATTCATGAAAAAGCGAAAACAGTAAACGAAAAATACAAAACTATTCTATAACGTTTTTTTCCGTTTTATTTATGGCTTTATGTTTTTTGCAACTTCTCGGGCCATTTTTTTTCAAATACAAAATACAAAAGCTCAGGAGAGGAAAGAAAAATACTCGAGAAAGCTCAACCTGTTGAACTTTCTCATTTTTTCTCTCCTCTCCTGAGTTGGCTCACGCACAGTAGTTCGGTGCTTCACTTTTGCTCATCGTCACCATTTTACTGGCGACGATGGAGCACGCCGGGGATCTATCGAATATGGAAAAAAAATGGCTCTAAGAGCTTGCAAAAACACGAAAGAAAATGTTAATAAGTATTTTAGTTTATTTTTCTTTAACTTTATTCCATTTTAAAATTCATCGGACTTTACTTTCCCGTTTTTGCATAAACATAACTAGAGGAAAACAAGAAGAATACTTTTGTAGGCGCATGAACTTGGTTTCTTTGGTTTTCCCTCTCCTCTTGTCTGTGTAAACGCAGTCTTAGTGTGCGACTTTTCTCGCTTTTGCATGAGACTATGCAGTCGCGATATAGTTCTTGCAAAGGAAAACCATGCTTATTAGCGAGAACAGAGAAATCTCGCTGGCGAGAGCAAATTTCTGGCTCTCGGAAATATCTCTGTCAAATACTTATCGCGCTACGCCTCTTTTCGCTGAATATTGTGCGTGCGCCATGGCACAAGTAGTAGATGGCTTCTCAAATTTTTCATCTACTATACATATACAGTAAAAAGATGATTTTTAAACTATAGATATATAAAGTCATACGTGTATAAATTCTGTTTTATTAACAACTTATAATAAAGTTCTTTATCCTTTTGCAGTTTCCAGTGAGGAAGAATACCATATTTTTGATTTCTTGTTATGGTGTTTGTTATGAAGTAATTCTAATAACAAAGGTTTTTCTTTCCTAGTAGACGTCATAATCTCCATGCCACTTTCTCCTGATCACTCGTGTCGGTGTAGTCGAACTGTACTTAAAACAAGAACAAGAAATGTCATCACCTCTTACACCACATATTCTCGCTCTCTCGCGTCTGCATAGTCGCACCCTTACTCATATTTGCGAGATCACTGGTTTGCTGTTCGACGAATGAACATTTTTCAAATCAATGCAATTTTAACATAAAATTATTGTAAATTTCCAAGAAAACTACAAAACGTACTCATAAGTCGATCGGAATTTTTTAATTTTCGATTTTCTTGAAAATGTTTGAGAAGCGCGCTTTCCTTTGTTCAATAAAGGTTCATACCAAAGATTATCTACACAAATTTTATTGAAATCTCTGAGCACCCGTTGTAACCTTCCTTTTTAGAGATTTTCACAATCCGATGTAATTTTATAATGCATGTATTTATTTCGCTAATTCCTTCTCGCCCCTTTAATGAGAAAACATTATGAAGATATATAAATGTAAATTGAGACATAGAAATAAATATTATGTACAGTACGGTAAATGAAATTTTGATAATTAAAAATAGAAAAAAAAAATTGTATCTTTATATGATATTTAATTTTGACAATATAATTTTTAATAAAAGAAGTTAACATTCGGTCAGGTTTTCTTGAACAGATAGGATTTTAAAAAATTATAAAGCATCTTTTCTTAATAGTTAAAATACTGGCTTCAAGAGTAAGCTCTTCTTTTATTTTTTTAGCTGTTATAAAAAGGTTTTTGGTGGCCTCACGACAAATCATGGCATCTTCTCTTGATGTTGTGGCCTTGGGGCGGTGTTTCCATGGTAAATTTCTCTCTGTATTGTTATTTAAATATTTGACCACTATTTTTCTGACTCCTTCGATATTTGATGCTTTTTTGTAGTAATATCAAGAGAATTTTTACAATCACAGGTACCTGTGATTGTAAAAAATATAAAAAGTTTGCTCGAATAAAAGTAACATTCTTTTGTAAAAAGCTGGAAGTAGTTTGTGAATTACGAGGGCTTTTTTTCAAGCTTCGATGGTCCATAAAAAAAAGACAAGTGTAAATAACAAAATGAATTTATTACCAAACGCTAGGTACAAGCATGGTTACTTTTCGACATAATCACCGTAAAGATTGAGGCATTTATCACATTTGCGGACGAGCTTTTCCATCGCCTTGTCATAGAATGTTGCCGCCAATGACTTGTGATGGGCCCTAACGTTTTTTTTTTTTTTTTTTTGAAGATCGTCATCAGTCTCGAACCTTTGCTTTCCTAGCCACTTTTCCTGTTCAGGAAAGAGGTGGAAGTCGCTCACCGCTAAATCGGGCTTTACGCTGGGTGTTTAAAGGTGGCGAAGACTTCCGCCTTTCAAACTTCCACCTAGCTTAAAACTTTTTAATGTGTGAACACTTCCACCTCTTTCCTGAACTGAAAACGTGGCTAGCAGGGCAGAAGACTATTGAACTAATGACGATCTTCAAAACAATGTTGTTAAAGCCATCTCAATTCACTGGCGGCAACATTCTATGACAAGGAGATGAAAAAGCTCGTCCACAGATATGACAAATTCCTCAATCTTCACGGTGATTATGTCAAAAAGTAACCATGTTTGTACTTAACTTTTGATAATAAATTCATTTTGTTATTTACACTTGTCTTTTTTTATGGATCATCGGAGCTTGAAAAAAAAAACAGCTTACGTACTATTTTTTAAAAATAATAACGAAAATAGAAAATTAAAGCACTGTAAAATCTTTTTCAACGTGTCTTTTCTTATATATATAGTAGGACAAATAAGTCACAGCTTAAACTAAGAAACTTTATTCAACTGTTGAGAAATCATCATTTGTTATTCTTTCCAATCCTTATCTTCCAAATCTATTTTTAATTTGCTTTTTACTGAAACCTGTAAAGACGATTTAAATTTTATGCTTATTTTAATAATCTCCCTGTTTATATTTCCACTGGGGCACAGAGCAATATCGAACCATTGTTTAATTTAAAGTTAAAAATATATCCGTACTGTACACGTTGTCCTCGACTCGTAGCGACATTATTTACATTTCACAAGCGCCACCACAAAATGTGGTGGCAGCCGTGGGTGAGAATACTGTACAGTAGTTGAATCTACATTACTGTATCACTGTACTACAAAATTATTTTCATGTTTTGAATTTTTAAAAACAAATTTAAATTATTAATAAATTAATAATAATTACGTTAAGATATATTCGTTTATCGATTTTAATTAAATTATCTTTGTACGTTGAAACACAACGAGCTCGTTGATTGAACAATTCTTATTCTCATCTGGCAACATTTTCTTCATGTAGGAAAATGTCTGCTTCTAATCAAGTGGTTCACCGTCCGGGATTATTTAAACAGCAAAATAAATCTCATAAACATGGAAGACATCGTAGTAATCGGGCCTTAGAAGTTTTGAATAAAGGTAGAGTCATTATATTTCATAAATAAATTAATCATCAATCAAAATCCCTATAAATGCAATACCTCCAACTGAACACGTGGTTATTCTAGAGCAGTAGATTTTTTTATACAATATAATATATTTAAAATTGATATACGATATTTAGTTTGCTTGTAATTAGTAACATATAAAAAATGTAATTTGTGTCTTACATGAAACGTAGACATTATTCAAATTCAGTCTGCTCTTCTGATGCATCAATGATCTATCTTGAGACTTTAATACCATCTTGTGTTTTACAATATATTTATTATGCCTGCAAAATGTCCTGCTCACCAGTAAAAAATCACCAGTAACAGGAGACACTCCTGTTACTGGTGAGAAGAGGAAGGCTATTATCTCAATGAGAAATTTCAGATATCTGAGCAAGGCAGTTATGGTACTTGTAACTAGGTTATCGCAATCAACGATAGTCCAAACTCGCTTTACATACATTAATACCCCGAACTTACGCGATAGGTGGGACCGAGCGATAACCGCGTAAGTCAAATTCGCGTAAGTCGGGATATAATTTCGCATATAAATACATACAAATAAGTTTTAATTGGGGCCGGAGACAAAAAAAAAGCAATAATTTAGAAAAAAGTTTAATAAAATTTTACATAATACATATGTGTAACATATATTATTATACAATTTTTCACAATTACTTGATTATCACACCATAATTTTAACATTGTTTCCATCTCAGAGATAATACCGTGACGTTTACAAATGATGATTGAATTTAAAGATTGAGCATTTTCTGCAGCTTCTAGAATTTTTTCTTTACCTTTTATAATTGTTCTGACCGTCGATTCCGGTAGATCAAACTTCTTTGCCAATTCACAAATTTTTATTTTTGTATCGAAGTTAATAATGTTAACTTTACATTCCAAAGATGAAGTTTTTCTTTTCTTGTTTGATGCAGAAGAATCAGTTCTACTTTGTTTGGATGACATAGTAGAGTCTCTCGAGTCTCCATAGATAAAACAAACACAGAAAAAAATAACACAAAAAAATTGTAGCTATGTGTCGATTCCGTGCGACACGTCCGAACATGTAAGCCGAACAATAGTGTGGGGGTGAGTAATCAAGAGTTGCGTGGCGCTTAAACAAAAGACGAATCAGTGAGATTTGAAAATCGGCATAACTCCGGGTTCGCGTAAGTCAAGGTATTACTGTACTGTATAATTTTGCATACAACCTATTTATTTATTTATTTTTATTTTTGGCTTATGAATGTTTTTTTTTTTTTTTTTTTTTGAATGTAGCTGCATTGTAAGTCAAAAGGAGACTGTACAGTACATACTTCTGATCTGGACTGGAAGTCATGTCAGTTTTAAATTAAAATATGATAAAAAGAATTACAGCTCAGCATTATGAAAGTTTCAATAATCTAGTTTTAAAAAATTATTTATGAAAATACCATTCCTTACATTTTACATCTATTCTCTGTTATTTCTCTTGCATAAAAATGCAAGTGGCAATGCATACTGAATTCTGATTAAATTAGTTTTAAATGGGTATGCTGTGTTGCATGCAACAAAAATAAAAATTAATTTTGATAATACAAACTGTTAGAATTTAAAATTTTTGTTCATTTTTAACAGTTTTAGCAAGAAATCGTGACAAGTACATTTATTTGATAAAATTTTCATACTATTTTTAAGTTAGATACTATTTTTGTATTCCAAATTATGTGATCTCTCGCCAAATTTTCAATGGTTCAAGCATTATTTCTTCAATTGCTTTATTTCTTATATGGTAAATATTCAGCAAACACTTTCAATATTTCTGTAATTTAATAATGTTTCAAGCAATATTAATTTTTGATAATTGTGTATCTACATTGCATAAAAATAAAATTAAAATTGTTGACCATTTTTGTCAGAACAAATTATTTTGTGTGTTAAAGAAAACATGCTTCTGAATAAAAGAAAAGAAAAATGCTGTTATTTGAAGCATTTACAAGTCAGATATAGTGTAATAAAACTTCTCTGTTTGTTTACATTCAGAGTGGGTGGTGGTTGGTGCCTGTTCAATTACTAATCTCTCTTTAATGACGTGAAGTTTTCCTACTCTCACCTTAAAAGACAACATATTCTTTCCAATCACAAACACTCAATGGCAATCTGTGAAACATCAGATGATTTACAGAAAAGTGAAATTTGATATGTTTATTTTTTGTCTTTTTCAGATTAAATTACAAAAAAAAAAGAAATATGTATTTTTGAGAAATATGTATATATGATTGAAATATGTATTTTTGTCAATCCACAAGTCTCTCATATCACTAGAAACAAGAAAATTATAGAAATAGAAGATATAATCATAATATCATTGTTTCTGATGGGATGCCAATAATTTCAGAGTAACCAATGAGATATGAAAGATCTTATGTGAATTAAATAATGCTGTGGTCTTGATATGACTCCTGTAGGTTAAAATTAATTAAATTTAGTGGACAATATATTTAACTATAGAATTACTTTAATTTTTTAAAATTTTAAACTATACTCATTATATCCTGACCAGAAAATTTACTGTTTTGGTTTCTAGAACAATTAATTTGACATAAGCTACTGTTACAATTTTGTTATGTGAGACTTGAAATATGACAGTAAATGTATAATTTTGGTGAAAAGGTTATTGAAAAATTGATGATCTACTTAAAATTAAATAATTCAACATATTAACAATAAATGACTTTAAAATTAGTTATGAGAAGACATATATAAAGTATATATATATAGTATATATCATAAAAAAATAGAACATTCTTACATTCTTGTGTAAGTAAAAATAAATTATAGCTTTTAGTTCTTAATTAATTCTTCTACAACAAGGTTATTGACAAGACTGTCTTGTTTATAAAATTGTACTGCCTGCTGGGTAACCAGCTTAGAAATATGAAGGAGTACATGTCAGGAGTTGAAATTTGGCACAGAGTATTAGGTGCCCAAATCATGCACGCATAAAAAAACCAGACTTGTAGGTAGTCAGGGGATCGAGAACCGAGTCAAAATAAAATACAAAATGGTGACACTTTCTACAAATAGGCAGTAGTGCGAGATTTGTGCATGCGTTGCTCATTGGAAAGTTGGAAATGTGAACGTTGCAAAATCGAATTTTGACAAACGCATGCATTTGGGCGTATGAAATGAGAAATTGAATTTTGATAAAGAAATCTTTGAAAAAACCCATTTACCTGTCCCATGTTATTCCCAACATATCTCTGGTTGTGACATGCTGACCTTGAATGGTTTACCTGAAATATCTCATTTCAGCATCGGAACCTTTTTTCAAAGTAGATGGTGCCAGTCCTTATAATTTTTTATATTAAAACTAACTTCTGAAATATAATTTTTTTTCTTTTTACATTTATTAATATATATTGTTTGTGCAAAATAAAAAAAAATAATTTCGGATGATACGATAGCCACGATTATTTTTTCAAAAATGGGAAATTTTCATTAGGCATTGACAAAAATTCAACCTGGGGCGACACACAACGTTGAGAAATTTTGAAATTGGATAGGTTAATTACACCAAAAATGCATCATGGATGACTTCATGGTTGTGGCTGGCAAAGTTTGAAAGATTGCGCTCAAAACCAGTGATACCAAAGAAGATTGGAGAATGAGAATAAGACCTGCCTTGAGTGTCAAAGTGATTTTGCTTAGTAGTGAGTCTCTGAGACATAGTCTTGTCCCAAATACAGCCTTGCCGTTTACTTGTTTTGAGAATAATATGATTTCCAATATAAAGAATATTTAAAAATTGCATATATCATAGTTATGGCAGAGCTCTCAGCCTGTGATTTTGAAAAAAAGATGCTATCATAGCCAAAAAAGGTACGGCCAAAATTTTAATTGAAATGTAGTGGTTTTGACAATTTTGATGGAATTCTCTAATGCAAGGTGTACAGAAATGGCAAAATAAATTGTTAAATATGAGATTATTTTATTGCATCCATTTTGTACTTTTGATCATTTTGCATTTGTTATACTAACATAGTGTAGCATAGAACAGCAATTCTCCTAAATATAAAATTGAGGCCCCCAAGTGGGGTCACCAATTTTTCTTATGTGGTTGTGTAAATACTTTCATGAACATTATTCCTCTGCTTAAAAATATCTTCACGTGTTCTGTATATTTTATTTTTTTTTTTTTTTGTTTCTTTGACAGCTAAATACAGATGCAGATATGGATCTTTTTTTCCTTCGGATATCCACGGATACAGATATGGATATGGATATCCGGGACATCACTAATATCAATATAATGGAAATATAAAAAATATTGTATTTAACATTATAACTACACTAAAAAAGTATATACAACACTGAATTGAAGTCAATCAACAACAACAACAAGAAAAAAAGGAATAGTGGATTTGTATATATGAAAAAAAAAGATTATCCAAAAAGCAATTATTGTAAGAAACTGGAAATTGGAATCATCAAATAAAAAAGTGGACAAATGCCAAACATAGCAGACACACAGACAGAATTCTTGAAAGGTGGACTGTCTGTGCAAAACATGAATGGTTGAGAGCTCTCCAGTTGAGTAAAAAGTAAAGAATAAGAAGATAATGGAGATCTGGACAAATGATTAATCTTTAATTCAGTAATTTTATTTTACATTTACAAGAATTTGATTAGTTTCTATAAAAAAAAATTTTAAATCGATGAAAAATGATTATTAAAACATTTTACACTTTATTTAGGTCGAGTCAGTGTGAAGACAAGCACCAAAAAAACTAGACAGGAATTGAGAAAATGTGACAGAAGAAATCAGGTATGTATTTATAAATACAAATTTAAATAATAATTATTAATCACTTCAGTAACCTTAGTTTTATTCCAGTATAATCTTAAAAATGACAAATGTTTTCGAACAGCTTGACTATCCTGCTTCATGTCAGTTATACATGTTTCATTTAGAATGTTCATTCCATCACATTCACATTCTACATTTGAATTAAATTCAAATTTCCAATATTTTTGAAATTTACAAAATTTAAATTTACCTAATTAAATTTTACAAATAATGTATCATATTTAAATTTTATATTAATATCCCAAGGGCTAATTGATTTATTGTAATAATTTTTTTTTGAGTTATCATAAAAAGCTTTCCAAGCATATGATAAACAGATCTGCAACTCGTATATTAATGCACTCTCTTCTAGTGATGTGCCGGATCGTTAAAAATGTATATCCGCAGATACGGATACGGATCATTAGTGTCTAGATCTGCGGATACGGATACAGATCTCTACTTTTGTACTCAGTGGGCGCCGGTGCGTGTGACCTTGGACCGATAGTTGACGCTTTGCATTAATAACGCAACGTGTTTTGACTTGCACTGCGCGTGTTTTTGTTTATAGTGTGAAAGTGTGCTAAATTAGAATTCACCACAAAGGCAGACAGGATAAAGTAACAAAAGTTGATATAATTTTCCAATTAAGCTATTTCGCGTCTTTATAGTGTGAAAGTGTGATAAATTAGAATTCACCACAAAGGCAGACAGGATAAAGTAACAAAAGTTGATATAATTTTCCAATTAAGCTATTTCGTGTCTTTATACAGACTCTATTTCGGGGAATTCCAACTTCACGGTGCAAACAGTAGCATGCGAAATTACAGCGATAATAATAGTTTGCTGTATCCAAAGCACGTGTACAATACAGATCCCGATCGCGACAATATAACCCGAAACCTTAAAACTAACCTTAAACACTAACTTAACACTAATAACAGAAAAAGGGATACAATTAAGAAGGCAGAAAAAATGGTAGATAAGATAGAATTAGGGATATTTGGGGTTTTGTCCCTTTTTTCGGCTTGTTTCTTTATGCGTACTATTGGGTGGGATAACACACGTCCTTCTCCTATAACTGGCCACTTCTCTTCTACAATAATTAGGATTTTTTCCTTCCACAGTCGTCAATACGACCTTAAAACATGATTTTTTTTTCTGAACTATCCGGTCATTGAAAATACGACTTCCAGTATTCTCACCTCGTCCGTACACTCTGCCGTCCAGTTTACGAATGACCTGCTACGTCACTTCTCTTTTTTCTCCGGCTCCTGCTTACACCTTTGCTCCTCAAATTTCTAGGAACTGCTCATTCCACCCAAGGGACAGGGAATAGATAAGAAAGTTCTAGAAGAAAATAGAATAGAACAAAGGGTAGAAAGAAGAAACTAAACTAAACTAAAATTAATATTTACAAAAATATAGCATACCGCCACAATAATTTAGTGCAGTGTTTCCCAACCTTTTTTGTGCTATGCCCCACCTAAGCCTTTCTAAAATTCTTATGTCTCCCTAACATATACAGCGGCTATATGGTTAACTTAAACTCTGGACAAGTCCATTTTCGAATTGTCCTCCTTAGCAATCCAATTGCCCCCTGTGGGGCGTGGGCCCCATGTTGGGAAACACTGCTTTGTGGCTAGTGTGACACGAGATAGCGTAGATTACGTTTGTGTTTTTGGAGAGTGTTGAGTTAAATTAAAATAAAAACAATGTCAACAAAAAAGTTTAGTAGTGTAATATGGAAATATTTTACAATAGTAAACGACTAATGTGCTATTGCTACCTATCTTTAAAATCTTGTATAAGTAATGAAATTCATTAAGATAAAAGATCCGTTAAAGATCCGCTAAAAAGTAACAGATACGGATCTTTTTTTTCCCTCGGATATCCGGCACATCACTACTCTCTTCAAGGCTGTTTTAAATATCAGTAACAAATCTAAAAATTTAGTTTCTTCTCTAGTAAAACACTTTTTAATTAATGCTACTTGCTCCAATTTGGCTTCAGTTACTGGTTCCAAGCCATATATGGATAGAACTGTTTTTCTTTCTTTCTTTCAATGTCATATTTGTGTTCTTCAGTCCTGCTTCTAAGAGATCTATTTGTGATGTCAATGTAAATTAAATCTTGTCAAATCTTTCAACTTTTAATGGTATTGCTATAAACTGCTGGAACTCTGGTATATCTATAATATCTTTATCATTTCACAGCATTTGGTATATAGTACTGCCTCTTTTGTATGCCAGCATCATTCCTCCATTATGTGTAATTTCTTTGTATATTGGTCTCTTGTCATATTCCACCACTATGTTTCTAGTCAGTTGAGTATCTTCTCTGCATTGAGGTGTTATCTTGTCATATACAGTCAATTCCACTTAATTGGGACACATTGGGACTAATCCATTTTGGTCCAATTATGCCTTAAAGCTTTGAGGGTTAGCATTTTTTCCTATGATTAGTAGTTTTTGTTTGTCACTACCTGACATATTTGCACAACAAAACACAGTAATGCAGTCCATTCCCATTTTATACCCTGACAGTGCAATCTGCTTATAATACAGAGAGCCATCTGATGTAGCATGATAATAGAGACCAGTTTCATCAGTCTTGTAAATATCATCTGAACAGAAATTCTCTAAAAAAATAGAGATTTTAGTTTTTTGCCATTGTTCAGTGCTTACATTATTGGCATTGCCCTTTTCACCATGTGCTTTTTTATATTTGATATTGTGTCTCGCTTTCCATCGAGACAACCAATCATCAGTTGCTTTAAAATCATTGTGGCTCAGCTTTTTAGCAATCTTCTCTGACTTTGCTTTCAACACTGGGCTGCTGATATTCACGTCTTGCTTGCTAACTATAGAAACCATTGATCTAATGCTTCTTTGACTTCTGGATCCTCTCCATCACACTTTCTTTTGGATGTCCCTTGAGTTTCTTTCTGTAATGCCCACTTATCATGCAGTTGATTTTCTTATTGTAGGAGACATGCAATGGTAGATTTTGGTACTCCAGTTACTCTTCTCAAACTGCACTTACTAAAAAATAACTACCCTTTACTAACCTTTAACATGCAGTCTATTTTATTAACATAATCTAACATTTTTGATTTATTTCTATTTATTTATTTTTGGGCTTGTGCAATAAGAGCTGAGGAAGCTTTTAAAGTTAAAACATTCTATAATCAGTTGTTCGTCATAAACAAAAAAATTTTTCGTTTAATCCTGATGAAGGTTGATTAATTTGATTGAAAATGTTAGATTACGTTAATAAAATAGACTGCATGTTAAAGGTTAGTAAAGGATAGGTACACCAGTTATATCAGCAAGTCTACGATGGTTTGTATTGAATGACTGCTTATCCAACAAAGCAATTTTACTAGAATCATTTCTTGGCACCTTGGCAAAGATTTAAAAATTTTAAATAAAATCAACACTGTAAATGAATATTGCTAGGTACAATACTATAGTAATGGTAGACTCTTAAGCAAATGTGTACTTGTCAGACTCACGATGATAGATAACTGATTTTCATCATACTAGTGTTGCCAAATATTAATGTATGTAGTGTTGATATATTTTCGAAAAATCCCTAAAATATCAAAAATTGATAAATTCTTTTTATGCTACTGTCTGAATTAAGCATTTAAATTATGTATTAGTTTATTAGTTTGGTTTCTGTTCTTAAAGATTGGGCCCAAAAAAGTGTCTGCTCCAATTAACCAGTGGCCCAATTAAACAGAATTGACGGTATATAGTTTTGTGCTAAACATTCTATTAGTTTTATTTAGTACCCATGTGCCATTGCTATTTTCTCTCTATGTATTTAAGTTCCTCTTTAAATATAAATAATAATCAAAATAAATACTATTACTATAAGAATTGCTTAAAACTAAATGTCAAATTGATGAAAACATTTCATTTATTTAATATATGTATTGAAATTTCACTTATATTGGGTTGTTTGGAAAGTAATTTCATTTTTTTTTTTTTTTGTTACCACTAGACAAATTAGTCGTATTTTTCCCACCATTTTTATTTTAAACCATATTATCATTATATATTTTGGCAGCTAGCATTTTAAGGCTTATTTGTAAAAAATTCTATTTGATTTTGTGCAATTGTTTATTTTTTGTGTCCCATCAAATATGGAAGATCAAAAGCAGCATTTTCGGCATATTTTGCTCTTTTATTACCGAAAAGGTAAGAATGCTGTTCAAGCGAGAAAAAAGTTGTGTGATGTATATGGAGATGATGTATTGACAGAACAACAGTGCCAAAACTGGTTTACAAAATTTCATTCTGGCAATTTCAATATTGAAGATGCACCACATTCTGGATGGCCAATTAAAGCCAATGAAAACAAAATAAAGGTACTGATTGAAGCAAACTGCTGAATAACAACACGTGAAATCACTAAGAGATTAAATTTGTCAAATTGAACTGTTTATGATTACTTGAAACAAATTGGTTTCATTTCAAAGCTCGATATATGGGTTCCACATGTTCTTAAAGAGAGATGC